CAGGATGGGATGGTAATAAGCCATGGTTGAATGAGCTGATCATTGGGGACAGCAATGTCATCCAATGCCAGACCCAATTCAGCCAGTAATGCCCGGATACGAAGGCCAAATGGAGGAATAGCAGACCGTCTGTTCTGAAAGAGCATTGCCCGCCGAGGAAGAAAAACACAATCCCAGGTGGGATGCCGTGGTAAGGATCGAAGCTTAGTAACATATTTTAAAGAAAGTTACAAACGACGGAGGTGAAGAGAAGGTTCGTGGAACTCAGTGTACAAACTCTGGACTGGAGAAGTGCGAAAAGCACCGGTGCAGAGCCGAAGCCCCTTTACTGTGAAGAGTTTCAAATTTGGAGTAAAACGTGATGTAGAAAACAGATGTTATAAATGCTGTGTCGATGTTCTTTGGTACTGTGGTACGTCTCGCCATCTAGCGACATACTTTGTACTCTTGTTTTGTTACATGATCTCAAAGTTTATTGATATTTTTGTTCATACTTTTAAACTTAAATATTATTTACCTTTATACAGGTATGAGAAAAACAAAATCAAAAATTATAAGAAATGACACATTTACTTTGTAAATATAGCCATAAATGTAAAGAAAAAATCCACAAAAATATTTTACATATATACAAAGCTATACCTAAAACATTTGGAATTAATAAAGCTAATGCATCTTTATACGCGATATAAAGTACCAAAATAACAATATATATGCACGTGGGTCCTGCTTTTTAATTTAACTTAATAAATAAAATTTGGAGAAAAAGATCAAATTTATATGTTTATTGAGGTCAATCATGTAATACAGGATATTTTTGCTCTAATTTTCACACGTGTACAGTGATGTTAATATGGTTATAAAGTCCAGTGAAATACAGTTATATCATCCCAAACTTTGGCTTTGAAAGTAGGTCACTAAAGTTTTCTTTGACAAAAATATTACGAGATATGTGTAAGAAACGTTTCTTACAATAAAATAGTTAGAAAGTAAATCAGAATAAAGACTTCATTGTGTTTAATTATTTAGATTATGCAACAGTATAAACATAAAACTTGTAATTTTAATGTCGTAAACTTGGCATGATAAAGTACAGTTAATGCTCTAGTTTTCTCACTCACTTTTCCATTTAAAGTATTAATATCAAAGTTGTGAATTTTTGTGTAGCATACTATTTAAGATTTGCTGATAGTCATTAATGCTAGACACACACATGTCTTTTCCTAGAAATTATGTCAACTTATGTTTTATTAGCTTCTTGTTTTCAAGACAAAGAGGTAATTATAAAAAATTAACCTTCCTTAAAAAAGTCATTATTTGTTATACTATTTAAAACAAATAGTGGTATTCACAATAACTGAGATTTTGTTTCCCTAGTATGACAAGGGCATCGGCATGGCCAGGTGGTTAGGGAGCTCGACTCGCAATCTGCGGGTTCGAATCCCCGTCACACCAAACATGCTCGCCTTTTCAGCCGTGGGGGTGTTATAATGTGACGGTCAATCCCACTATTCGTTGGTAAAAGAGTAGTCCAAGAGTTGGCGGTGGGTGGTGATGACTAGCTGCCTTCCCTCTAGTCTTACACTGCTAAATTAGGGACGGCTAGCGCAGATAGCCCTTGTGTAGCTTTGCGCGAAATTCAAAAACAAACAAACAATACAAAATGATAAAAAAAAAACGAGCGCTTTGGAAAGGTGGACCTTTCTTCTTTAGGGACAAACTGAAAAAGAAAGGTCCACCTTTCGAAAGCGCTCGGGTTTTAGGTTTTTATCGTTTTGTTATTTGGACATTTGATATCTTCAGAACCATTGAAGATCTAGATAACAGTATATACACATCTATAATAGAACCATTGAATATCTATACAATAGCATGGAAGGGTGGAGAACGGGAGCTATACTAATAATTTAGGTTGGGCTTAGTATAGTAATATTTTAACATCTTGGTATTTATGTCCAAACATCATAATAGGGGCTGAAAGGCTAACTTCAAGAACAGTTTTGCCGTCTCTCTCATTGAGTAATCGTGTTCTAATTATTTCTTTCTTATTGTTGTTTTTATTTTATTTATTTACTTTTGTGTGAGCAACCACCTTCCTGTATCTGGCTGCAGACAGTGAAAGGTGGTAAAGATGTAGGACATTGTGGACTAGAGCACCCACATCTGGCTGCAGACAGTGAAAGGTGGTAAAGATGTGGGACATTGTGGGCTAGAGCACCCACATCTGGCTGCAGACAGTGAAAGGTGGTAAAGATGTGGGACGTTGTGGACTAGAGCACCCACATCTGGCTGCAGACAGTGAAAGATGGTAAAGATGTGGGACGTTGTGGACTAGAGCGCCCACATCTGGCTGCAGACAGTGAAAGGTGGTAAAGATGTGGGACGTTGTGGACTAGAGCACCCACATCTGGCTGCAGACAGTGAAAGGTGGTAAAGATGTGGAACGTAGTGGACTAGAGCACCCACACCTGGCT